AAGTACTCATACTTGGCTACTACTAAAATTAGAAACCTACATGTATTTTAGGAGAATGAACTAGACAAAATCCTATATCATATTTATAAAGCCTATAAAGAACTATACTAGAAAGAGGCTTATGACTTGAGAGTAGCTGAATATTTAATCTTTAACCTTAACCAAATCATACTAAATCAAAATAAGTTACTAAACAAACAAATAATAAAAAGAGAAGTTCTGGAGACTATCCAAAACCTACCTAATCATAAAGCCTCTAGAGTAGATAAACTTATATATAAATGCTTTAAAGATACTGTAGAAATTATAGCTCTTATCTTAGTTAAAGTTTTTAACAACATATTCAACTCCAGAAAATTTCCTAATTCATAGTATAAGAATCTCATCATCCTCATCTCAAAAAAATCAGATATACTAAAGGATATAAATAACTAGAGACTAATCTTATTAGTTAACTCAGATGCAAAGATCTTTATAAAGATAATAGCTAATTATTTAAATCCAATATGCCACAAGTTAATCAGCTTGTATTAACAAGGCTTCATCTCAGAAAGATACATAATGGATGCTATACTAAATGTAATCACTATGATAAAAAACATTATAGACCAAATCAAATCAAACTAGATTATGTTCCTCGATCAACAAAAAGCTTTTAACTAAGTGAATTATGATTTTTTTAACTAATCTTACAATGAATAAGCTTCTTCTTCACTTTTATGTCAGTAGTTACAAATCTCTTCAATAAACAGCATGCTCATATTATGGACAATAGAATGCTCTCAGAACTATTCAATATAAACAGAGAAGTCTGCTAAGGAAACTCTCTTTCACTGCTATTGTACCTCCTGGCTTTTGAACCTTTCTTACAAAAACTTACTAGTAATCTATATAGCATCTCTATTCAAAACCAATTATTCAAATAACAGCCTACATGGACAACTTGACTATAGGTATAGGTTTACTTTCAGATTGGATCTTCCTTAACAAATTTTTAATGCTATATAAAAAAGCTTCTAATACACGAGTCTATTTTTGTTCCACTTACAGAAAATGCCAAGTGTATTGAACTCCCCAATGCAGAAACTTTCAAACTTCTGCAGCAGGAGGAAAAAATTACTACTCTCAGATATTCTATAAACAGCAAAGGTTATTCCTCTAGCTCTCTCTAGCCAAATATCATAATAAAAATAAAAAACCTCCTAAACAGCTTGGTAACTCGAAACCTGTCTCTTAAGAGTCACATCCTCATAGTTAATTCACTAGTCATCTCTCGCATCTGGTACACCATCACTCATTACCCCTATCTTGTAGACAAACTTCAGAACTAAACAAGCTTATCATGGACTACATTAAACAAAGTTCACATACATTACCATATTACACAATCTTTCAACAATCATACTCCATATACGGACTACAAGCACTAGTACTCACAGATATCCTAACAGCTCGCAAGATTAACATATGGTTAAGGCTCTTAACGGGAGATTCTCTATAGATAAAAGTAGAAAGAAACATCACAGCACAACAACTACATAACAGCAGGGAATTTCAGTCAACACAGCTCTCTCTTCCAACCCTATTAAAACCAAAGCCTGGCCAGCCAGGTGGAAACCTTTTATCAAAACCTGAAAAAAAGTAGAAGGGATAATGGGTAGAAACAAAGAAACCTGGCCTTGGCCTTTAGAATCCATCTCCATAGCACACAAATAAGGCAACTTATATTCGGTGAAAAGAACAGTTCAGTTCCTCAGGAAAAGTCTATCATTACAACAACCTTACAAAACAATCTACTCACAGAACTCCAACTACCAGCAGCAACAACTCCACTTTATTGCAACTGGATACCTAGCAAAAGAACAGACATTTTTTGGCGACTCCTTCACAGAGCTCTCCCCCTAGGATACCAACTAAGACACATGGCAACATCAGAAAATGGCGACTGCACCTGGTACGAGAATAAACTACAGACTATAGAACACTTCACTCTGGAGTAGAGATGGGTTCGGTCGGCTTGTAGTCGGCTAGCCGACCGACTATAGTCATAGTCGATAATAGTCGACTATAGCGGCTTAGCCGACCGGCTAGCCAGACACATGATAGCGGGCCAATTAAATATCATGTTTACGAGATCTTCCGTATTTTCGGGCTGATCCGTGTCTATCTGTTTATGTTTTTAAATATCATGTTTCGGGATCTTCCGCATTTTCGGGCTGATCCGTGTCAATCTGTTTATGCTTTTAAATGCTTTATTTGATCGACTATAACTGGTTATAGTCGACTATTAGTCGATAGTCGATAATAGCCGACCGATAACTGACCGTAACCGACCGAACCCATCCCTACTCTGGAGTGTCCCATTAGTCAACAAGTCTGGAACCTAGGATATAAAATGCTTGTAAACATCCCAAACATAACAATGCCTACCTTCCTCAAAGACGTTATCTTTCCTCCTCTATCCCTCTCAGCAAAGACTATAGAAACAATAAAGTGGCTGCACGTAAATATAGTTTATGAAATATGGTGTCTATACACATCGGCAAAATGGGGCGGCAATGCAACTAACCATCTTAACGTGTCAACTATCATCGCACACCATCTAAACAACGAACTGGCTGTCTTACAGCAAATCTCCCGTTCTACAAATAAAAGGCTCAAATCGACCTTAAATTTTCTTAAAAAATTGTAAATTTTATTGGATAGAAAAAAATACTGTATAATTAATAAATACTTAATAAAGCGCCACATGCGCACCTTGTATAACAAGGTAAACTCAAAAAAAAAAAAAAAAATTAAGTCTAGTATTTCAGAATCGATAATTGATAGATCTGTTAAATAAATAAATATTAGCTTAAAAAATATTGTAGTATTACAACTGATTTCCTGTGATATAGCATACTGTATATAGCATGTAATAAATTTATATTTTTAATGCTAATGCTAAGCAAAAATTAAAAAAATAGAAATAGTGATAGAAATTGTAACTTAGCATATAAATATAGATAAATTGCTAACTTAACATTAATAGATATGCGAGCTATTTAAAAACTGAATAGAAAATGGCTTTAAAACAGAAAAAGAGAAATCCGAGAGATTTGGGGATCCTGGAGATCCGGGTTAGGATCTCTGAGATTCGACGGATCTGACGAATCCTAGAGATCTCGGCTAGGATAATTGGGATTTTAGGGATCCGGGTGATCCTAGAGACGGGAAGGCGAAGTAATCTTGCGAAACCTTGAAGATTTCAAGTATTTCAGGACAGTGTAACTTCGGATTGGTAGTACTTCCGGGGTTACCAGATTTGCCCTTTACACCGGATCAGACAGTTTCGAATTTCACGTGAGCAAATTATGTTTTACAAAAAGCTTAATGTTGGTATCGAGGAGTAACATACGATCATGTCGTGTAATAGGTTGTGCATATCTGGTACTGTATTCAATGTATCCGAGATATTTTTTTCAAACGTTTGCAAATCTTCAATTTTATATTAACTAAAGTATTACTAAAGTATATAGGTCCGCTCTTTGAAAAATGTATGTGTTTTTACCTATATAATAGTTTTAATTTATATATAATATATCAGTTTTCAACAAAGCGATATATCAATATTATAGATTTGATGTAACCTTTTCTTTTCTTTCTTTTTTATTAGTAAATATAGTTTCATAACTAATGAAATTTTATTTTTCAAATGAGCGAAAAATTTCAAATTGTTAAAACTAATTTATTGTGACTTACTTCCAAGCATTACGGATTTTCAAAATTCCAAAATAATCATTATTAAAGAATTTTTATAACATATTCAAAATGAGTTTTACTGACGATTGGTATCAAACTGCCATTGAAGATTATGATCTTAAAAATGTACCTTTCGAGAATTTCAGTAAAAAAAAGAAAAAAATAGGTAGAGGTGGTTTTGGTGATATATTTTCTGCTACTTGTAAATCAATACCATCAATCCCGGAAGTGATAGCATTAAAGGGAGTGTCCGTGGGAGAGGAAGATAGTGGAATGAGTATTAAAATATTTCTTAATGAGGTAAAAAATATTTATAGGATTTTGTCTAGTTCATTCTCCTAAAATACATGTAGGTTTCTAATTTTAGTAGTAGCCAAGTATGAGTACTT